ATGTTCTATGTTTTGGTATGGATAGTCTCTTATCTTAATAGTCTTTTTTTTTTATTTTTTCGTAATTTCACATGTACCCAACCAAATCAATATTATGGAATAAAATCCAAATCTTTGATATTCTCCAAGAGGGACATAATATAATTTTCCCTATCTACAGTAGCATAAAAGAGGGACGAAAGATACCAGAGGGACAGTCAAACTCATAGATCGAAAACAAACTGACAACGCCATGGCCAAAAATAAAAAGACAAACAGGCAAATACTAGTACAGATGACACAACATAGAAAACTGAAGACTAAGCAATACGAACACCACCAAAAACTGGGGGTGATCTCAGGTGCTCCGGAAGGGTAAGCAGATCCTGCTCCACATGTGGCACCCGTCGTGTTGCTTATGTTATTACAAATCCGGTAAATAGTCTAATGCGGTAGGTCACATTCGTGAAAAGGGAAGGGTATTGTAGTAGCATCTCTCTTGGCTATTATTTAAAATTTATCCCCTATGGAATCCTGAACAAAGTCCTGGGGGCCTACTCTTTTGCTGTCCGTGAAAAGGATAGTTTCTATACCTAATTTGGCTCCCTGTACCCTTTGGTAAATCTTTTTTCTCTCTTTGATGATTTTCCGTACAGACATGAACTATTGTGTTTTTGTTATATCTTCTATACTGCATAGCACAAGTTTTCCAATATAGTTAATAGTGTCAATTATACTCGTTTAATAACATCGATTGTTTTCATATATTTCTACGGTTATATCTTGACGCCGCATTAATATAGATAATAGGGCTTCCCTATTTTCTAATTGTCTTTAATCAAAACAAAGAAGAATAGTCAAAATCACAAAACACTAAATGCCTACGATTTCCCTGACCTCCGCAAAGTTCAATATTTATTCTCAAGTTGTATTTTTGATTGTGCAAAAATATAAATAATAGGGCTTCCCTATTTTCTAATTGTCTTTACTCAAAATAAAGAAAAAACGCAAATAAAAAAAAAACACTGTCTAGCTATAATTTCGGAACACAACACCTCTTTCCATAAACGTGGTTTGACCACAAACTCGAGTCAAAGTTATTATCTACATTTTGGTGTGGAGGTGGTCAAAATGATTTAACGTGATGAAATATGATATGGACAATATGATTTAAAGCGGTTTTTTTTTAGGTTGTTGGACACTAATTACAAACCATAACCACGGATTATTATCTGATTTTTCTTAGCTACAAATAAAAAACAACATACTGTAATTGAAACCAGAAGCACTTCCGGACCCTTCATTCCCAGATTTCCTTATCCCTGTCCAATCCTACCTAAGTTATAGTTAATGTGTGGGGATATCTCCAGCTTCCAATTGAATACCAAATATACGTGTGATTAATCATATGATTTTGCAGACAAAACATTATAACAGTAATTTGCCTGAATACTACACAAACTTGGCAAATGACAAGCTTTTATAACAAGAAAGAAATTGTTCAAGGTAAATCACACACAAATAAACGGAAGTTAGAATGAATATGTATATGTTTTTGTTTCGGATGTCAGATTTTCACACGGGTCGATTTTCATTTTTGTTGTATGATTTATCCTACCAGACCTTTATACGATCCGTATCTGTTGCAAAAGTTGCAAAAAACTATCAATAAATCAATTAACTTGTTACAGGTAATTGCATAATTACCAGCTGTAAATCTCTTGAAAAAACGGTATGTAACGAACAATATTGTTCTCGTCTTTACACTGGGTTTAATTACCTGTATATGAAAATTGCTCACATCAGTAAACTAGACATCAACCCGTATTCTGTCGATGCCTATATTTTGGCATTGCACAAGACAATTTTTTCTCTATAACTGTTTATGACGTCTTTTTACTAAGTCCATTGGATGTGTACTGATAAATATTTAGTTTTGAATGTATGCTGTTCTATAAGTTGATTTCCGGCTTTTTCAACTGATTTTTTTATAGATTGTTCTTATGTTGTGCTGCTACAACACTTTCCCAGATTGAGGATTAAACGGATATTGTAACATGAATTGTAATTTTTCCTTTGATCGTCGAGTTAGTGAACTTCTGTAATTTTTAAAGAAGTGCGTTGACTGAATGGTTATTTAGTTATCGCACTTTCAAGTCCCGCCGTGTGTCGTTTGACATTAGAAAAGCAAAGAACGGGAGGAGCTTAGAACAGTACTCCATCTCAGAAGTTGTTATTTCACTGTCTAGCTCCGCCTCCTTGGTCTAGTAAACAATGAAATCAATGACCATAAAATGTATTAATATATATAAACAAAATGCATACACAAAAAATTGTCACTGGATTATTCAATTGTCTCATTTCCCCCACCTACCCCTTTTTTTAAAGGATATCTCCATGAATTGAGCATGCTGAAAATATTTATCTCTGGACCTTTCCGATCAACAGCCCATCTTTACTCGATCATTTTCATGGTTTTGGGAAACGCAGGATACCCTCACAATATGTTTAAGAAACGTTTCCTTCTTTAACCTCTTCTAAAACTTCACATCCTATTAGTTTTGAAAGCAAGCAGCATGGTATACATCTTACAAGCTTTTGCATCTATACCCTAAAAAAATTTCGCTGGGGGAGGGGGCACTTCAATAACACATATTTAAGCCAAAAATTTGGAAAGCCAAAGACCTAATACAAACGTTAAAGAGCTGATAACACCAAAGATTAAAAAAACCAGCCGAACCCGGACAAGGAATCAGATCGATGCATGAGGGAGAAACATTTATTAATTGAAAATTATTTCGAAAATTCAGTAATTCTTGTCTGTACCAAAGCTTCGGCATTATTGTTGAAATGACCATCTGGTGCAGTTAAATTGGTACCATTAATCTCATTCCCGTTTCTCAGCAGTTTTATACCCTCTGCTCCATCGTATGGTGTTTACTGACACGTTATGCTCGTGCATGTTCTCAATAACTTCATTATCTCCTTACACAAAAACTGCCCAAACAGTGAAATGAGGAAGATAGACTGAAATCGACGTTACATGTACTTAAGTTTTTCGTTCACCATAACGAATTTGTCAACGGATACTTTATGTCTGATTCCCATCTCACTTGCCACAAGTTTTGGCAGTCCTAAATCTTTAGATACCAGTACAGTTGAATAATCTGTAATTTTATAGACTTTGACCTATTTCCGTTTGAGGCATTTTGACTCAGTGTGGATTCGCGGGGAGGGTGATGCATGCAAAGCAGTAGACGCATTTCTACGCATGTGATTCCCTTAGTTTTTGTGTTGTTACCTAAATTCATATCTGTGTAATTGATGAACTGGATTTTAACATTGGTCAACAACTGTTGACTTAATTTTTCAGTACAAATCTTATTTTTATAAATTTTCAAAAAAACAAAAAAAGACAAAGATGGGAGTGAAAATATGGTATCAATTGAACACAAATCGGACTGAGACCATAAGTGTCACATTGTGAACTTAATTTTGTTACTCTTAACAGAAGCTTTTCTGAATTTTATTTATAACAATGCTTTATTACCTATCCTTATATGATATACACTAAACTTCCTTTAGGAACAAATGATGTAATATTTCTTCCAGTGGAAAAAGTATTCCAAAAAAATTCTTCTGTTATAAACTAAAATTATAAAGGAACTTATTTTCAAAGACAACTTGAAATGCCTGCGCAATTCGTCAATGGTTGTGAAATCAAATTCAGTAGTAGGTGTTAACAAAAAGGGCATGTAGTTTATAACTTTTCTGATCGAAGTTTGTGATAGAGTAAATTATTTATCAACTAAAAAAAAGAAATAAAAAGTTACACTTTGTTATTGGGTACTCTCTATACAAACTTTCTTTCGCAGTCTTTAACAGTCCTTAACAAAGGAATATTAACGGATTTTTTTGTAAAAACAAATAACATAAAAAAATATAACTGCTTGGGTCGTCGTGTGGTAGCATAATGGCGGCTAGTGCGAGATATCGTCTGTTCGATCACAAGCCGGTCCATAAAAGGACTTTACAACTGATACTTTTGTGGCTCTGCAGACAGACGTTAAGAGTCAAAGGAAGGATTAGGGTTGAGAATAGTTGCCATAATGTATTCACGTAGGCTTGCATATTTTCATGTGAGTGTTATATTATTTCTAGCACATTCAGTTTCAACTTGGATGTAATAGGTCTAGTGTCAAAGGGTATATTCATTTTTTCATTCCGAGTTCACAAGCAAAATTTGCGGCTGGACCTTTCATTTATCAATCTGATATCGGTAAATCACAAAAAAAAACTTTCTGGTTTTTAATAAGTTCTCACCTGCCTCTTAAAATTCTTGTTCCTTGAACTTTTCCCCCAAAAAAATAGTCATTTATCATAAATAATCTACAAGCCCATAGTTTTCAGGAAAGAATGGTGGTTTCTGTAACGTTATATTTGACGTTTATGTTTTTGTTTGTCTTTGAAGGGGGAAATAGGCGTCTTACTCAAAACACATTGTAACATTTGTACCAAGACAAATAAAACGTTAAGTTAAAACTAGTTTACTGGTTTAACAGGAAAAGTAAACGGTTAGACATCATGATGATAGAGAAAATGCAACACAGCTACGCTTATCTTAACGCAAATCTCGTATATTTTTCTCTTTCGTTATCTGATAATTAATCTAATTATTCAAAGTGATGTATTTAATAAGAATGCTTGCTCATAGAATGTCATGCTCCGTTCCCACCCCCACTATAATATTTCCACGTTCAATGAACAAGACAATCTAGGTCAATGCCCTTATTTGTCATACACTGTAAAGCCATCATATCATAATGAACATTTGTACTAAATATCAAATTGATGAAACTACAACTTGATTCAAACTTCCTTACCCGAAAACATTAACCTGATACGGTACGGAGTAATGGACGGACGAAATAATTACAGACAGACTTACGGACGGACGGTTTGGCACACAGATTGGAAACATAGTGCCCTACTCTTATAGGCGGCTATAAAAATAAAGCTAATAAATATTTAATATTTTTGTTGTAAGCCAGTCTCCAAAAATCAGTAAATATACAAGTTTTTCTTATTAAAGATGCCGTTCTTGATCCAGCAACCCTCTGTATGCTTTATAGTGTGTATTTGATCACGTACTCTGGGTAACATTGTGCTTTTTCATAGACAACAAATTCTCTTGGACAAAATTCTCCTAGAACAGAGTCGAAAAATTCATCATGTTTAGTACATATCTTTTTACACATCTTCTTACATGGTGGCCTTTTCAAAAGAGTTTGATCATCTTTGGTCCTAAAGACGTCCCCTAAGCAAGCCCTCACGAGGAACATTGTACGCACTCCTTGTTTTTCTGTAAATGAATACATGTAGTATAACGTAATTATAGATATATTCTTGAGTAACCTCAACCAGGTCCGGTTATATAGTCAAAACTAACTAAAGTAAAGCGCTTTATAATTATAATTTATTAATTGTAAACTGAGTTTTATGATAAGCACGTATCCTTAAAATCGTGCAAGAAAAATATATACTTCATGGCAATTACTAGTTTTTTCAAATAAACATGTAATGTTTAAAGTTCCGTGAGTAGGTCTAACGTAATTAGATTTCGACTTAAATCATTTTGGAAATGATATGTATTTAATAACTGTACAGTTAATAACAAAGAAGAAAAATATACATATTTTCAAATATTTTCTGCATATGAATCGGATTTTTGTGTATTGTTAACCTCTTTAACATAAACATACTAAATGTTTTACTCTCCTATTGCTTTAATTCTGCTCACTTCTAAAATGTGAAATATTTTTTTAATCATGTTTAAATATTCGAATACATTCATTAAAAATGTATTATTGGGTCCCGATAATATTCAAAATAAACTCATCATAGATACCAGGATTGACATTTTATATTTGCGCCAGACGCGCGTTTCGTCTACAAAAGACTCATCAGTGACGCTCGAATAAAAAAATGTTAAAAAGGCAAAATAAAGTACGAAGTTGAAGAGCATTGAGGACCAAAACCATTCAATAGCACATACCTGTATAATGTGCTGACAGAGAAGCTTCTTCTGCGGTATATGTACCATTGCCAAGTCTAAGTGTACGAAAGTTCATAGACGCTAATCTTTCATCAAATCCATTGCGCAGTAGGACCTTTACTCTGTCTTGCTTTGTTCCATGAAAGAGGTAAACTTCATTAATATCCCGTTCAAGCACACGTCTCATTTGACAGTTCAGGTTTTCCATTGTCAGAACAGGTTTTGCAAGTGGTTTACAGGGACCGTTTACTATTGCTTTTCTGTATAGTTCTTGGCATCGTTGAAAATATTTTAAGTAAAGATTCAAGTTTTCGTTTCTTGTTATGGATTTAATTTTAGCGCTCGGATTTTTTATAGTTTTCATAAATAGCTGTTTTATTGATTCAAACGTGTCTTTGTCTATTTGCACTTTCTTTGGTGGATCTGTGCTTCTGCGCTCTTTTGACCAATCTTTTATTGTTCTGAAACTTTTAAAGAAGCTCCAGTTTGTTGGCGGTCTTGGATCTTCGTTGTACTTGAAATAGAAATATTCTTTTGTGCCTCTTCTTGGTATTGGCTGGTTGAGGGTATCTTTCAAATTAATACCTGTGTAAAATAAATATCCTTAAATGTTCTTTATAAATAAAATCATAAATTTACAACAAACAGTCAGTAACCAAATGTGTAGAAATGGACCCTTCTGGCTGAATTGTTTATATACTAGTATTCATATGAAGCAAAGTTCATACAAAACCTTCTCAAAAACATAAAAAGGTTCCATGTTCCGATGTATATTGAAAATATTATGTCACTAAATATTGCAACGAGTGCTTGTGTGTAATGTAAATTAGTGAACTTGAAATTATTCATACTACCTGAACTACAAGGTCTAATTCATATCTGTCTGTTCCGTGAAACTGTCACATGTGTGCGGCGTAAAACTAGGATTCATAACAAACGTGACGATTTCATTTTTTTACTTTATCAACTTCCCATTCTCAGAAGTAACAGATTCTTCGTTCCATCGCAGAGTGTTCACATATATCAATTAAAAGGATACCCAACCCACTTGCATGTTTACGCTACACCGACTTCATTAACAATCATGTGGTAAAAAAACAACACCTCTAGCATAGCTATTAGAAAAAAAAACGACTGACATCGACATAACACAAGTCTTAGGCTTGCCACCATAAATTGATTGACCTATATGGTACGTCTTCGTCTCAATTCAAGAGAGACATGTTTTGCAGTATAGCATAGTTGTAGAAAAAAGCCCAAAATATAGAATTTCTTAGCCAATCAACTTGAAGAGGTACTCCAGGTTATTGGTGGATACAGTTGAGGACAATGTCTGAAAACAGTTAAGCGCGATACAGATGAATATCAACTGGACACTTTATCCAAATGGATCAAAACTGATCAGTAATAAATTCAGAAGAACATTCAAATACACTGAGATACCATGAGCACAAAGGTGTTGAACCCTTTTAGCAAGCTGTATCCTTTCTTCAAGACAAAAAAAAACAAAGCCTCAAACAGTATCGTCTGTAATGTAAAATTCATCATTTGGTGTGGCTAACAATAGAACTTGGAATTTACAGCCAATCTGGAAATCCCACTTGAACAACGATTATATTACGAAACGCGAGATTTAAAAAAATAAAAAATCAGTCCATTTCTCTAGTAATATAAATAGGGAAAAAATGTGTCCTACTTTTCCAAAAAATTATCTAATTAAGAAACCAAGACGGTTAAATTGCAATGGTATATCAACAAGGAATCACTAATATATGTCCTGTTTTGGATGTGGTCATATATTTCTACATCTCATACTTGTCTTTAGTATTAATGAAATAGCAAGCAAACCCTTTGATCAACGAACTTTTTGATTATTTTGTTTCTCTTTCTGCATTTAAAAAAACAAGTTTACTCTGTCATAGGAAGGCATATTCATTTCTCGTCTAATTGACACTGCACATCGTCATTCAGAGTAGCATGGGCGGGTACCCCTAGTGACGCAGGAACTGCTACCGTTTTCGTAGCACCATAGTGAATCCCTTCCTGGTATTAATTTGGTTCGTACTGCTCAATCTTAGTGTTTTTCTTACTTATTTGTCTTTTCGATGTTTTTCTATTGTGCTATGATGTTGTCTGATTTTGTTGATCGTATGGGTTTATTGCCTCCTTGGTAACTTAACAATCTCTTTGTGACGGCAGATGCATGTATATACAGGGCTCCTTGTCCTATCGACACACCAAGTCGTATCCGTTAGATTTCTTGCAATTCCCATTGATTCTAAACCAATGTCTGACAGTCTTTACTTGTGTTTGCTAGAGGTATAGGGGAGGGTTGAGATTTCACAAAACATGTTTAACCCCGCCGCATTTTTGCGCCTGTACCAGTTCAGGAACCTCTGGCCTTTGTTAGTCTTGAATGTTTTTTTTTAATTTTGGTTCATTTGTATGTATCGGAGTTTGGTGTGACGTCCATTTTCGATGAACAAGTACACATTTTTGTTTAGGGACCAGCTGAAGCCCGCCTCCGGGTGCGGGATTTTCTCGCTGTGTTGAAGACCCATTGGTGGCCTTGGGCTGTTTTCTGCTCTTTGGTCGGGTTGTTGTCTCTTTGACACATTCTCCGTTTCCATTCTCAAATCTATTATGAGATGTGAACTGAACTTGGTTAGCAGCCTTAATGGTTAACAAAAAATGTAAAACATCCATAATTTGTTTGTTGAATAGAAATAAAGGTGAATTGATAAATTTCGATGATATGATGATTATAAAAGCCATGCAGGGGCATCTTGTGTTTTGTGTAATTAACATGAATTTTTCGTACCTTTCACAGAATTTATTGTAGCAAGCTCACTGTGGTAAGTCTGAAAAAAAAGGAAATGAAAAAAATCAATAAATAAGACTTAAGAAAAATTAAGATATTGTCCAAAAATCTAAAAATATTGTACCTTTGTATCTTTTTTTCTTCATAAAAATCCAATAAAATGAAATGGTACCCTGTTAACAGTTGTCATTATATCTAATAGAATAAGTTTAACAAATTCCAATTGAGTGGTTCTTTTAAGATATGATAAATTGAGGATAATACTTTCTGTAAAATATTGGTGGCTGTGTTTTCCTGTATTGTTTTCTTTCTTTTAAAAAGGACATTAAACATGCTTTATCGATAACAGACCTAACACTCAAAACACGAAGAGAAACCGAAAACAAAATGGAAAAAATATATAAGACGACAAAAATACAAACAAGTCCACAAAACACCAAAAAGAAAAACCAAGGACTGAGCAACAAGAATGTCCCCAACAGCTGAGGGTAACCTCATGTGCTCCGGAAGGGCAAGCAGATCCTGTTCCATTGTAGGACCCATCATGTTGCTCATGGTAGGTACAAATTCGGTGAAAATTCTCATTCGGTGATGTCACAATCTAGTAAAATAGGACGGGGCTGGTGATTACGACAATTGAAACATAGTCGTGGTCATATGTGACACAAATGTCTATTAAATTTGCGCATAAAACTAGTTGCGTGTAAAGCACTTTTGATTAACCAGAAGTTCTCAGAGTCATTAGTTTCGATATTGAATTAAAGAATAAGGAATTTGGAATAAATAAAATTAAAATGATTTTTTAAACTGTAAGCTGTAAGAATATGATATGCAAGATAAAATATAAAAAGTTGTGGAAAACAATTTATGATATTTGTCCGCAGTTCTTTGACAAGCGTTCCTTTCAGCTGTGGTGTCTTCTAAATATTTCCGATTTTCAGGTTTTGCCTTTCTTGTTCTGTTTTTTATTTATTCTCTTCTTAATTTCTTATCAACTAGAAATATTTTAACTGCAAAACAGATATCCTATTTTACTTCCGAGATCATTAGCATATCATAGACAGGATTCAAGCTAGCAGGAGATTCACAAGAATGAGCATCTCTTTAAAGCATACCTTTTCAATTTTTGAATGATTGCTGTCTCCACCATAAACAACTATTTTGATATTATCAATTGATGAACATGTCCATGTACACGAAAGAAATGCCTGGATACCTTTAATGACAGCTGAGGCTGCAACGTCATTTGGATACCTTAACATTCCACTTCCAAGCGCAGAGAACACAACACTTTTTGCTTTATGTTCATTTGCCTTGTTCAAACATTTGCTTACAAATGTGCTTAATACCTGTAAAATGAAACACATGATATTACATCTATAAAAAGTGATACATACATGTTAAAGTAAATCTTGCACGTTTCATTAAGTATGCAGATGTTTTCTATGCTTATACAACGAGCGACGTTCGTATACATTATCAGAATGGGATAAAAACTAAATATACAGTAGTCCCAAAAATACATAACTAGAATCTTATAAAAAATGCATCTGAATTTCAAATTTAAAACGATATTTTATCATTGTGAAGTTTGATACTCTATGTTATTGACTAGTGTGGAAAGTGAATTCTCCCATTTCCGCAACTAAAGAAGTATCAATTATTTCATGGCTTATACACTAAAATGAAAATAATATCACGTTATTGGTTTAATTTCCATTATTTAGAACGTTTTTAATTAATCAAAACGTTTTACAGTACGATTTCAAAATACTATCAAAAATATATACCCTTTCTGGTCTTTTATTTCGACCATAAAATGATGGAAGGTATCCATGGTAAACTTTGGAGCAGCGTAAGTTATACCCGTCAGTAACAGCAAAAGTTCCGCATTCCACGACCTCATTATACATACGATTCAGTTCATCTTGGATATCTGATCCAGCGGATTTCAGTATTTCTGTTGAAAGTCCGGTTCCCGTGATGAGTTTCATATTATGTGGACTGGAGTATACCAGTACATCTGCCTGTAATCATTTATATATGTATCATGCATTGCAATAAAAGACAATAACAGTAGTTATATTACATTCCCTTATGGTTATGGCCTGTTGTCTATTTTTTGCATGAATAAATATTTCTCGTATCACACTACACGGCGTGTGATACGAAAAAGTGGTACGAAAATCTGCGTTAATTTAATTGGCTTATACAACATCATGAGACGCTATTACGGCATTTCCATTGGTTATTCGTTAGGTCAAAGATGACTTTAAAAGGTTAAGACGATGTACATTTCGCCCATGGCAACGGGCAATGTGATTTCTTCAATAATATACAAAACACTCACACATTTCACCTGACAATCTTCTTTTTGTCAAATTTTATTACATTCTGAAGCGTACAAAAAGTTTTAAAATGTCTGATGTTAAAGTTTGACACCGGAAAACGACATGTGACGTCATACTGGAATGTGCAAAAGACTAGATCAACATTTCGCGGAATTTTTAATTTTACACATTTTAACAACTTGTGAAAATTGGATATCGCTTGATATCAACTCTCGTTATTTAATTTAAATAGTAATAATAAACTTGCCAAAGGCTCGTTTATTATTATATTGAAATTAAATAGCTCGAGTTGATATCAAGCGATATCCAATTCTCACTCGTTATGAAACCTATAAATAACTCATCTAAAGAAAAGACGGAAAGCGTTTTGGAATTCCCTACATGAGTCACGCTCTAAACCAAACGTATAAATGCCATAATAAATTAACGTCTGATTGCATTTGTTTTAACAGAACAGCTAAAAAGTAAGACGCTACCTACGAAGGGGAAAGGAAAAAAATCATAAGAAAGTAAAACAAATAGCTCCATGGCAAACAAAAATCGCAGTCCACTAACACTGCATAGACAATAAGTAATTGTGCAACACGATGTGCACCATAATACGAGACTGGAAGCAGTTAAGAAACTGTCTTAGATCAACAAAGCCTGAGGGATTTTATGTTTAGTAAATATAAGTACACAAATTCAAATAATATCAAATAATTAATCATTGGTAATCCCAAAATGACAACAAAAGAATAGCAGACTGATTTGACAATATTCTTATAAGATGTCAAATAGCACTTCTTGCCTTTTTCATTATCATACTTTTTCTATCCAATTATATTTTAAGTAAAAAAATAAGCATAAGTTAACTAACTACCTGTTGAAGTACTAAGTCACCAACGAGTATTTGTATGTTGGTATTTAAGTACTTTGTTCCACCTGATGCTTGAATCTTTTGATTTCCTGCTACAATATCAAGAAAAATCACAAACTTATAGAAATATTTTCATTAGTTATATTATATCAGCTTTCAAACAAAAGACTGGATCTTCTTCAAAACATTTTTTATGTATGTTTGAAACTCTTTATACAGATAATCCAATTAACTATCCATTCCTGTGAAATAATGGACAGTTTTTTGAACTTTCGCTTTCCTTTAAAAAATCTTAAATATTCAAATTAATTTTTCTGATTCTACCATTTTTATTTATTTTATTTTATTTTGTAATAGTTTTTCTTTCATTTTTTACACGATTCCTTCCTTAATTTCTGAGGTCAGAAGTTTACGTTTTTAAAAGTGTACTGTCAAAGTATATTTGTTCCGCTTTACTGAAGTTCCCTGAGAAAATATGCATAAACAATGCCATAATATATGTTACTGTTGGAAAAAATATTTTATACCATTTATTCTGGGTTTTTTTCTGGCTTTTGGAATGACAAGCTACCTAGGTATCTTAAATTAGTGTTCCAAAGCCGAACTGATGTGTTTTGGTTTGTGCTTATGAATCGTGTGGGTTTTTTTTTTCAGTTGATGAATACTGGATGTAGAAGAATTTAAGAAAAGTGATAATATTTTTAGGTATATATTTCTGTAATCAATTAAGTTAAACGATTATAATAAGTGTTTCGGAAAGAAAGCGTCATCTATTTCGTAAACCCTATTATGCGAAAAAAATAAAATTACACATGAAAATAATTCTCCATTCATGAAAATATAACGGGTCATTTTAACAACAGAATTACGTCACATGTGTGTGTATTTCAAACTCTTAACTTGCTGTTAAAGAAAAAGGCATGCTTTCGAAGGGAAAAAGCAGATGCGGGTGTGAGTGTTTATTTATAAATATCTTTAATCAGTGAAATCCTTATTACGTGTCGAAGCACAGCTGGTCTACTGTGTGCTCTTATTGACAGTGTCAGTATCAAGAAACCATAAGCTGACATTCAGGGTAAGAAGTCGAATCAAGTGTAGACATGTTACTAAGTGCAGCATACGTATACTTGTATAGCAATATTAGTTTGTTTTTTACTTACCTAACAACCTTGATCTTTTCTTTGCTTCAGACACAAATGTCTACATTGTGTAAATGTTTAAAAGTATTAAAATAGAAAAAAGAAGATGATATACAACTATGAAAACAAATCTAATTTAACGGCAAAAACTTGTTAAAATATGCTTACATCATGTTGACAATTATATTAGATAAAAGACGGGTTACAGACATGAAAATTTCTAGAATGAACAGATGAAAATAATTTTACACAAATTAAATAATGAGAATACATCATGAATAAATCGATTATAGGTCTTTCAAACAAATATTTTTCATAAACGTATAATTTTTTTATGTCAACCATGTATTTAAGTTATCGCAATCAACGTAAAAAGAATAAAATTATTTGAAGAAAAGAAGCTCGGCCTTACTTGATACATCTGCTCCTGAAATATAACGCATGTAATGTTTTCAACAACAGTTGTAGAATGTTTGTTATTATAATCCTCGACTGCGTCGAATAAGGCGTTTATTACTTTGTATGGACAGTAATTCAGACAATGCGTACCAAGTGCTGGAAAGGCAATCGATTTCAAACTAAGCATCTCCATTTGTTCAAGACATGCAGTCACAGTTGTTTCCAAATTCTTCAATATAATAGATTACATGGTATTTATTTGACAAAACGCAAAATTTAATATAAATAAAGTAAGGTTACATTTTTATCTTCTTTAGGAAGCCTTCAACGCTATATGCTAAGACGTTATGATAAAACAATAGTAGCTGCATTGCTATATTATCCTATGCTTACCATTTTTTACCCCTTTTACTGAAACTGATATTGTTTTCAAGTACTGAGAAGGTTTCTTATATATCATGTGTATATTCTCAATGTAGATATGAGTGAAAGGGATTGTTGTCCTTTTTATGTCATTTTTATCCGAACATTACCTTTCAACTATCAAATGATAAACTTGAATATGCACATTTGCAGGATAAAAACAACTAACTAGCAATCAAAAACATAAAAAGTCCACATTTGGGCAACTAAAAGTCAATCAACCGGTAAGTGCCTAACACAAACAGTAACCTTAAAATTAATCCAAATCAAGTATCTAACTAGTATAATAAAAAGAGAGAAAGAGTAAAAAGATAAAAATATTGCAATAATAATTTTAATACGACAGTATTTTTTACTGATATGAGATTAACCCAAATATTGAATCAACTTACTTAATATATTTATATTTCATATGGAGTAAAACATTGAATCATCTTAAAAACTTGAAATTGAGTATATTAATCATTTCATACTTGTAGTCATGTCATTTGAAATTATAACATACAAATAAACTCATCATAGATACCAGGATTATAATTTTGTTCGCCAGCCGCGCGTTTCGTCTACAAAAGACTGACTCATCAGCGACGCTCAAATAAAAAAAAGTTCAAAAGGCCAAATAAGTACGAAGTTGAGAGGCGTTGAGGACCAAAAATTCCGAAAGGTTTTGCCAAAAACTGCTAACTCTAGTTTTATTGGTTTACTTAAATCTTAACTAACCTGTTCGTCACCTTTCTGTTTCCATTTAGGGAGATACACATGAAAAACTTTTGAGCTTTTTAGATCCCCAGAAGTTGTGACAGCCACATCACCTAAAGTCAGAGGTCGTGGATAATTCAGTTTACATTCTGCTTGAATACTACTACCACCAGCTGTTGATATTACTTTGGAGCATTGACCGGCATTTCCAAGATCTAACTGAGCGTTTGTTGTGTTTACGATGACATCGGTCTGGGAAAAAAGCTGCGTGTAATATGAAAATACTGTAACAAATGTTTCAAATTCTGTGTTCTAAAAACACATTGTATATATACTGACGGAATTTAAAAACGCATCACTACATTATTCTTTTTACCTCCCATTTTCAAATATGCAATTTTTGTAAATAAATGTACAACTTAAATTTCGTTCATTAGTGTATTGTCTAAGAAAAGTGTGCAGTTCGAAAGTTGAAAGTCAATTGTAATGTTCAAATCATGTGGTATGCACTGAAACCTGGTTTTCCCCTTACCAAAGAATTTATCTTCGTCGCAGGCAATAACTCCCTGTATTCATCTCCACAATGATTGACAGAAAGGTCAACCAATTATGTTGGGCATGTTCTGAGTTCTGTTTTGTACCTTCTGATTTGGCCTCTGTCCCACCCACTACTGTGCTTTTAGGTAATTATGCGGTTGAAACTTTAGGGCTTTAAATGTTTTTGAGCAGTCAATTCTTTGGCGTTTCAGTATATGGGTAACATTTATGGCGGGAATCTGTCTGCCTTGGTATTCGACCACTTGATTAGCAATTAAAATTGCGGCCGTAAACATGTCTCACAAATGGCGTTGCGTAATCAAATTTTCTTGACGTGGCGATGTCACTACATATTGATCTTGTCATGGGTGGTCATCAACAAATCCCGTCATCCTGTACCGTTGTTGTATGGAAAGTAAGATGAGTTTCTGACGTGAAATTATCTGGCAACTGCACGTTCACGTATTCCTGCGTGCTATATTTTTATGGCCTGATTCAGATTTTAATTTCTCAGTCTTGGCAATATGGAGATGAAATTTTTTTTCTGATTTAAGTGTGGGTATATATTGAAAAAATTGTTTCACGAAGAAAAAACCTTACAAAATCATTCGTGGGTTACAAATTTCGCTTTAAGAAATTCGTGCATGTTCAATGATCCGGTATGTTAAATAACCTAATGTAAGTCTTGACTTTTTCTAAACTTAAAGACGTATGGTAAGCATAAATAGTATTTAAATGAGGATCAGTCATGATTTGTTAAAACAAATCACAAAAACGTGTGTTGCGTTTAAAAGTCCGTCAGTAAGTCAGGTGTATTTATACGTCTAAACATATGACAACTTTAGGGCAGACGTTCTCCATCGGATAACCATTGGATAACCCGTGGTTATACAGGGTTTGCACCATAAATTATGTACTTCGTCTCAAGTTTAGCTCAACAATGTTAGATCTGCAAGTTTCTGTTAGCAAATTTCTGTTCTTCCCTCATCGGGATTCAACCCCCTGCTTCTGTTGCATCGTGGCAACACCGTCTGCACTGTTTCCATCGACCTAGACCACTCGACCAACTAGGCTGTATAAAAATATAGCTTTCGTTAGTCGAGTAATGCCTTTCCTTTCGGCTTCATCTAGGGTTATAACACAGTACATGATGTATAATGGCAAATAGATGGTGCACCTTTCAAATCAACTATATTTTGTATGTCGTAGAGGGTGATAGTGTAATTAACATGCCTTCACATCAAATTTGAATTTTATGAATATAAAGGCCTAAAGTTTAACCAAACAATGTCATAATTATTTCCACCCTCAAAATCGTTTGTACACTCAGATTTGATTTTATAGTCATCTCTCGAGAGACGAACTGACAACCATTTTATACATCCTTCGTAAATATATATATAAAACGAGGGCGATGGATCATCACGAGTAACGATACCTGTACACAATAAATAAGTTATATATACGCCTCAAAAAAAATCTCCTGTTTTATTGGTGTACAAAACAGCACCAATATTAAAAAAAGAAACATTAAATATAAGTATCTATTAATATTTTGGATAACAGATATCCTTCATCAGTATGTTTATGATGATGTAAAATGAATCATATCAATTTATTCTTATTTAACCATAAAAAACCTATACAGCTATACAATTAAAACCGAAAAACGCTTGTATTGTTCTAAATTTTCTAAAAAGACGTAGATTAAGTATTTACAATAGAGACTGCATGGGTATGCTTCTGAAAAGAATAGTAATGTGCGATATGAACTGATACAATCCTCAATTTTCACAGGTGACGAAAGTTAAGTTATTACAACAGAGACTGCATAGCAATACATTCTTTATGAATAGCATTGCCCGATTTGAGCTGGTATAATGCTAAAATTTCAAATTTGACGAAGGTAAAGTAATTACAACAGAGGCTGCGTATTTACACATCTCAAATGAATAGCAGTTCGATTTGAGCTAGTATAATTTTTAAATATAAATATTGATAAGTTGCAGTTTCATACAAACAATATACAAATAAAATACAAAATTATGAAATCTATAAAGCATAAATTATATTTGCATCTAACTAATTTATGTTGTAATAAAAATAGATATGGAGTAAAATGTAGAATCACAAAAATACTGAACTCCGAGGAAAATTCAAAAAGGAAAGTCCCCAATCAAATGGCAAAATCAAAAGTTCGAACACATCAAACGATTGGATAACAACTGTCATATTTCCTGACTTGGTACAGGCATTTTCTTATGTAGAAAATGGTGGATTGAACCATTAAACGTCAGAAAACAGTATTCCAACTCAAATAAACCAAGACATCAAAAGGTCCGCATATGGGTCGCTAACAAGAACGAACGGTTGTGAATACATTTATCAGAAAAGAACAGATACATATAAAGATACAAAATGTACTGTTACAGTTTATAACCTGTATGAATTTTAATGATAAAGACCTAAGTTCATATTCAGGCCATAGGTAAATAACGTCTTTTGTATTGTAATAGCTATAGAAAATAACAGTTATCATTTTTTATCTTTCTCTGCGCTTTCGACGTTTAACTGTTTATTGACTTGTTAAAAAATGTTGAAATTTGAAAAATGGATTAGTGAATATGATGTACACTTCTAATATATGAAAACCTCACTTCCTGGTCTTCAATTTTTCCTTTAATTATGCTGACAGCACTTCTGCCAAGTTGCAAATATCTTTTTCTTGTTCCTGCAAAATCAATTTTATTTGAGTTAGTATGCATAGTTTTCTATTATAATAATATGCACAAAAAAAATGTTGTTTATACGTCAATGAGACATTAATTAAAAGACATCTAACGACATCTAATATTTTACTGATAATAACATCATTTATATCATAATGCTGAATTTTGATTGGTTAAAAGGCGATGTACTTAACTTAGATATTGACATTTTTTCGTTCAGAAAAAATATGTACGGAGTTTTTTACTCTTTCTAAAATTTTCCGTTAATACATTTTGAAACTTTTAGAAACTAAGGTTTCAAAACCCTAAGGCAAAGTTAACATTAGACGGATTTGGCGATTTTTTTATGTCCTTTTTGGTTATGTAGCTCTTCAACTGTTTAGATTATTATACATCCTTGGCTTTCAAGTATTCGGCTTTGAGAGTTCCTGATGAAGGTAAATCCAGAAAAGCGCCTCAGACGCATGCAATTTATAACGTGGTTTTTTTTTTTTTCATTTTTTACTCCTTTCACACTTCACTGCAAGTTCAAAACGTTCCCAATAGCACCGGATTTGGCAGAATACTTGTATAAAGTATGAGGTTTTATCTTATTTTTGAAACCCGTACAGTATCGTATGGTAAAATTGAGAATGGAAATGGGGAATATGTCAAAGAGACAACAAGCCGACCAAAGAGCAGACAACAGCCGAAGGCCACCAATGGGTCTTCAATGCAGCGAGAAAATCCCGCACACGGAGGTGGTCCTCAGCTAGCCCCTAAATAAAATTGTGTGCAATCTTTGTCATTTGGACTTTGTGGACATTTGTCTGATGGCAATATCAGACCATCGGTTGTAACTTCGAAAATTTTCAACCAAACTGGAAAAAATAAGTTAAATATTGTTAATAAAACCATACTATACTTTTTTAAGTACTTCACGTCGCACTTTTCATACAATGTGATTATTTTTTTCTCATACTTTGTCTTGTGTACATTGCTGCATGTCAGTCTTCCCTTATGTCGGTCTGACTACTTGTTCGTCCTACTCAATAGCTGATTAGTCAAATTTCCTTAAATATAATACATAACAACTGCATAGGGTTTGACGACAGGTTAACAAGACAAAAATGGTGGCTGCATATATATGAAATTGTCATGTATGAAATGGATTTTAAAATTCGTGTTGCTGTGTCTTTGGTTCTTAATGTTGTGTTTAGTAGGCTGTTGTTTGTCTTTCCGTCCTTTTCCGTTTTTATCCATGGCGTTGTCAGTGTGTCTTTGACTTATCAGTTCGAATACCGCCTCTCTTTTTTTTGGCATCAACATATGAACAATAAATAAGAAACTACGAGTTCTTCCGTCTCCTCCCTTTGTGAAATTGTCAAAGATTTCAATTGCATTCTCCAGCAGATATTATAATCAATTCGCTTCGTCATATTTGATACCAAAAAAGTCATAATATTAATGTGCAACATGTTTGTTAAAACTATTTAATCATCAGCTTCAAAATCGATGTTATTTCATGCATTGTACAATATTTTTGGTATTAAGCTTTAACTGATTTTATATGATTCTAATAGACGAAATAATAAAGAAGCTAGTCATTTAGCCGGTAATAGGGTGTGTTAATTGTGTGATTGTTATTAATAATGATTAAACAATTTCTTTGGCAAAACAATAAATTACTTGTCCTTGATTATTTGAAAAATGACTGATCAGATCTGGATACCATTATGGTAGCAATAATACCGGATCTGAATTTACCAGAAGGGTGATATCTAAAACTAGACTCCGTAATTCCGTAAAAAGTAAGTCATTCGGAAGAAAAGCACGCTCGATATGTAATTAACCAAATAACCATGATACTCTAAAGAATGAAAAAAATTGTTTATAATAGGAGTGTAAAATGAGGTGGCCAAAAACCGCATAAAAAGTGACAAACCACATAAAAAGCCAATATCAACACAAAAACCACAAACAGGAACCACATGGAATGATGGAACAAAAACAACAAACATGAACCACATGGATTTATGTAACAAAAACAACAAACAGGAACCTCTTGGAACTATGTACAAAAAATAACAAACACCAACCACATAGAATAATTATTATGTTACAAAAGAAACAGGAAGCACATAGAATTATGTAACAAAAATGTTGCCCTTTGGTCACTATATTACATCAGGAAAATTGATCTCCTATGAATGCAAACAAGGTCTTCAGGTGTAAATAGCTGAACTCACAGATGTTTTAGATTGTAATTGGTTATAGCAAAAAGCAATAAGAAGTTCAAATTATATTTTTTCCCAAAAGTCTTTCCATACAATACATCTAGCTGTTATAACAGTAAATGATAACAATAAATGATTCTTTTACAGCAGTTAACACACCCTATTACCGACTATCGGAACACAGATACAATAACATCTGATGCATTGAACTCTCCAATGAAAGTTGTTGTTTGAATTTTCAACATCAGTATTATCTGCTGTGATATTTAAGTAACAAAGTTGAGATACATTGGGATTTGATCCAAAAGTAATTATCTTCATATTCCTTTTACTATAAAATGGATTTGCTTTTAAAGTTTTTCATAGATTTTATCTTACTTTTATCTCTCCTATATGCATAAAAGCTTTGGTGATGCAAAATTAAAGAGGAGGAATAAATCAATTACTAAAAATACCCGGTTACTGAGTGCCTTGTTGTATCCAGCAGTGATCTAGATCTGTAGATATTGAAAAAACTACTTAGATTACTCGGCCATCAATGCCTTACCCGAGTGAAGTATCCTGTTATCTGTCGATACGACCGTCTGGTGGATGGATTCCCAATGAAACAATTATTCACCAGAGTCCAAGTGATGTGCATGGAAACAACTACAGATCACCATACGGAATTCAACAATGAGCAAAATTAATACAATACAGGCCCCGACATGATACATTGTGGAACAATTACATGTTCAAAATGGGTTGTGATGCATGTACTGGCATAAACGGGTTTTACAATCAAAAATCGCTTTTAAAACGAATTTCCCCTCTCCTCAAAATAACTGGAAGTATTTCTTTTCACCAAAAAGGACAGGAAGTTTCATTTTTAAAACGCAATTTATCATGTACAATACAGTTCAGATTACCAAAAAACGGATACTATTTGCTAAGATAAAATTCATTACATGTATGATCACGGAGAGGAAAAGTCCGATACAAAATTATAAGCTTCATATATTTGATGCGACGTCGATGCCACGAATGGTGGATACATTTGTCGTTGAGTCCTTCACCAGGATTCAGCACGTTTGTTTTGACATGAAATATCATTGATGTGCTCATTTTCTGTAAATTTATTATTCATAAAACATTGAAATATTCGAAACACTCCTGTTTTATTCTAACCCCATTAATATATTGCTTTATACGTATCTTTTCGTAATTTCGGTTTTAAATGCTCTTCAAATTCGTATTTTAAATAAGGGAAACAGTAGTTTGTCGATGTTCAAATTTGGGAGATGATATTTGGATACATAGTGTGATTATTTTATTATTCGGATGAATTTAACATATCGATATTAAACTTATTTTAAATGAGTCATCAACTAATTGATTATTTAGTTTACAGAAAGAAAAACATATGTTGATTATGTAACATATATAAATACTTTATCCGTTGATGAGTGATATGGATTAACAAATGTTGCCACTGATTGTGTGATACAACATTTTTGTACAATGTGATTATCAATTACACATGCGATTGTGTCTTTATTTGCTGATTATCACCCTGAATCTACATGTTAGTTATGTTTTCTAATATAGTCAATTTTATTTTGTGATAATTGTTCCATGTACTGCGTATGACTACATTGTGTAAATTTAAACAATACGTTTTTTTACTCACATGGAATTATATACTATATTTTTTATCAGGTCCGGGAACACAGTTATCTGCTATTGATTATCGTTGTCTCAAATATAGTACCTAGTTCATTACTTACCAATATTTTTCATAACCCTTCCCAATTTTATTTTTCCCTTTTGTATGCCTCAAACAGCGAGAAGAGGGATGGAATTACACTGTAAACAAATTTGGGTCATGAATTTTAAAGTGAAGTAGAGATTTGGTCCCGTTGAAAAAGGTTTAGTATGTCTGAAGCTGTCAAGCAGAATTCAAGACCCTCTTGACATAAAATTGTCAATATTTTGAGTTAGAGCTGATGAATATTTCTATAATTTGTCCCAAAAGTAGTACACGACACTGTATAATTATTATTGACTTTTATTGTCTAAAAGAGATGTTCTGCGAAATAACTGTGTTCTCATGTCAATCCTGTCGATACTATGTCTTTATATTTTGGCATTGCACATAGTAATGATTTCTCTGACTGTTTGTGACGTCTTTACACTAAATGGGTTGGATATGTACTGCTTAATTCTTTAGTCTTACTAATTGGATTTGAACTAGATTTCAGTACTGCGGGTACTCTTAGATCGGTTTTTTGTGTCTTCTATCTTTATGTTAGTCGTATTTTTGTGCTTCGTGCTAATATATAAGACAAGACATTTCCAACTGGTTTTTACAGTTTGTTCTTATTTCTGTTATACGATTGTCCCAGGTAAGGGGAGTAGTGAGCGTTCACAAACATGTAATTCAGTTGATGTCATTGGTTGCTGTCTGTTATCTTATTATGGTTTATTGTTTTTTGACATTTCGGGGCCTTTCAAATTTTACTAAACGACATGGGCTTAGCTCATTGTTAAGGGCCGTACGGCGAATTGTAGCTGTATACATCTGCGTCATTTGAACTCTGATTGATAGCTGTCTCATTGGCAATCATATCACATCTTCTCATTTTTGAATTTCTGTAAAATTTTGTAAACTGGCACTAGCCATTATTTCATTAAGAAAATATTTTTACATAACGTAGATCAGAAGAATATTTTCGAAAGTTTAAAAATGAAACACATGGAAATCTTATAAGCGAGTTCGTAGGTTTAATATAAAACTAAATGTATTTGTGTACGATTGAGTGGGTTAAAAAAACAGGCTTCAACAGTAATACAAAATCAGCATCAAGAAAACTTAAGGATGTAGTTAGGTGAAATTAAAAAAATCTAGAATTTAAAATTGATAAACATTTTGATTTTCATTTCTTTTGTGATTTATTGTTTATATATAAAAAGTTTACTTATATTATTAGAAATGCGAAATATGAAGTTATTTTTGCTTGTTTTGGGTCATTACAATTTTTACTTTGTGAAGAATCACAATGATTTCTTAACAATACACCGAAGATGATCTCATTAAATTGCTGGACTTTAACAGCGAAAACATATTTGTTGAGTTTGATTGATTGATTGACATTTCAGCAGACAGTCGATATTGCAAAGGGTACTAATTGTGCATCACTACTGTCCGATTTTTTTTTGTATTCACATGACCAGGCAAAAGGAAAAAATCATCTAGCAAAGTTCTTTGATTTCACTTTCAGATATATTGATGATGTCATGTCACGGAATGACTCACATTTCAATTAGTGTTTACGTCTTATCAATATAACTTGAACTTGATATTAGAGATACTACCAATATTTCCATTACCCAGCAGTAACATACCCTCTGCTCCGTCAGATGGTGTTTACTTTCTCAGTTAATACGTTACGCCAGTGTATGTTAACATTATGCGGACTTTGTTTACATGGGTGTGCTCTTTACACAAAAACTACTCCAACAGATTTGTAAGACAGGTTTCGAAATGGAACATACTGGATGCTGAGGTTGTTAATAAAACTTTAGATGTGGGTATCGTATCAAAACAAAAAAGAGATTTAAAAATTTTAATTACCTGTGTATCATTTGTATTAGTGTTTAAACTAACTAGTACTGATGTTTACGTATATTTGTTCCTTTTAGCAAATTTGGAACTATTGTTATAACAGTTCATCATAACTTCATTATGAATATTCCTTATGGAACTAATATTTCGTAAAATACATTCCATGTGGAATAAATATATCAAATTCCATAATATGTCTTCCATTTCATAACGATGACAGGAGCAATGGATTGCATAAAGGAAATAAACCCAGAAGAAAAGAGAGAAGGAAAGCCGAACGAAAAGAGGAGGGATTGAGAAAAACCAAATACTCTGTCCACCATTATAGATTAAAGCTATATATACTTGGTATTTTTTACTTTCGTGCATTCAAAATCAATAGAGGCGGACCTTTTAACTTAAAGGGGGCTACTCGCGGCTTTTAGATTCGTTGCACATAATACAGAAATGTCTTGTTAAATAATATGACAGAAGTCAGCCGTGCGAGAAGGTGGTTGGTGGATGCCGTGCAGACAAGCGGGAAGGGTACACGTGCCATTTTGTGAAACTTCTCCGACATGTTTAAATCTAGAGCGTTTAAACTTTGCACACTGCATGTATACAGACTTATTAAGAAGGGATATAGTTACGATACTGTTGTCAGGTCATTAAAAATTGCATATTTTGGCTTTAATATTGATTCACTTATAGGGTCTTTGCATCGGAATTAAACATATTTATTCTAAAACCAGTTGTTGGCATGACACGGGTTATGTTCTTCTCATATATTTTATGACGGTATAATACTCAACCCCTAACAGGAGGGATTGTGCCTGATATTCATATGACGAAGACATAATCTTGAAATCAGTTTAATTGAGGTCTGGAGCTGGCATGTCAGTAACTGTTAGTAGTCTGTTGTTATTTATGTATTATTGTCATTTTGTTTATTTTCTTTTGTTTCCTATTCTGACATCGGACTCGGACTTCTCTTAAACTGAGTTTTACTGTGCGTACTGTTGTACGTTTGTTTTTTCTACTTTGGCTAGAGGTATAGGGGGATGGTTGAGATCTCAAAAAACATGTTTAACCCCGCCGCATTTTTGCGCCTGTCCAAAGTCAGGAGCCTCTGGCCTTTGTTAGTCTTGTATCATTTTTAATTTTAGTTTCTTGTGTATAATTTGGAGTTTAGTATGACGTCCATTATCACTGAACTAGTATACATATTTGTTTAGGGGCCAGCTGAAGGAGGCCTCCGGGTGCGGGAGTTTCTCGCTGCATTGAAGACCCATTGGTGGCCTTCGGCTGTTGTCTGCTATATGGTCGGGTTGTTGTCTCTTTGACACATTCCCCATTTCCATTCTCAATTTTACATTAAACCGGCGTGCCTCGTTTTATGGATTTTGTTTCGGATACATTTTGCAGATTTTCTGAAGGTTGAAACTTCTTGATTTTTCAGGAAAACATGTATATATGACCAATATGACACCTCTACTGCCCTGCGAGCCCTCATTAGACCGTGCAAATGATCTAAAGTATAATAATCTGTATAAAGTTGTAAATCGTTAGGTTTTTTTTTCCTTAGATTTGTCTTTGTCTATCAGTTTCCCCTTTTCTTGACTGACGATTCGTTTTTTGACCTCTTTCTCTGGCCTATTATGCCACCCTGAGTCCTAAGGTTAGCCTCCAAAATGCCTATAACTTCGTCTTTTCCTAAAAGAAAATCTTTGAGGCAAATCGTAATTTCCCTTTTACATATACCATGTTCATGAGAGCTGAACTACAAGCAAGGTTTATTGGAACGACAGACTGAATTTTTCCAAGAAATGTAATTAAAAAAAAACCTTCCAACTGGCCTGGCTTATAACATAAATTTTGTCAATCCAAAAATGCATATTTGCATTATACTTGCATTACCTTTTCCTTTACTTTTTCCTTTTACCATCGCGAATTAATTGACCGATACGATGTGTCGGCGTTTCAACTCACTAGCGACATTTTTTGGCGGTCTTTGGTGTTACGAGACCAATATAGTCTGATCTGTAATATATCTGAGTGTGCTTTATTCCCGATTGTGACGTTTTTACTGAGTGTTGATTCCTCTGGCGGGTGATACATGCATAGCAGGAGACGTTTATCCTGTCGACTAAACCGGTCTTGTTTATTTTAGAGTTCATGCGATTCCCTCAGTTTTTGTTTGTTACCTTGAATTGTCTTTTCCTCATCAATTTACGAGACTTGAACATCGGTAAACTACTGTGGTCTTAATTAAACAGCGAGTTCAGATTCTCACATAAGAAAAACTTGTTTTCATATTCAAAAAAAGCGAGAACTCATTGTACAATTAAGCTTCTGGGTCAATTGATATAAGGTGTTTATCCAGGTGGGCAGAGTTTTAACCATATTCGTAGCAAATGATCTAGAGTTAGGTTTGTTGTGATGTAAATTCTCCCTACCAGATCTGATTTTTTAAAAAGTCCCGTAATATTGCAGAAACTCAAGTAATGGTGACGATAAATGTATAGTTATCTTGGTTACATGAAAGAAGTGTACACTACTATGATTTAACTATTATCGAGGAAAAAACAACAAAACACGTCAAGTGTGCATTAAAATATATCTTCTGTGTACATTTAAATAGCCTAGTATGTCTTTTTCGATCGGTTAAAGACCGAATGTAAAATTAATTGTTGTGAAATTTCATTCTAAAAATAGACGTTATTGCATGTATCTGTTTTTAGAGTTATGTATCTGTTTTTAGAGTTATTAACATTTATTGACCTACCACATCCTGTTTTTTTTTTAATTATTGCATAGCAATGAAAATAAAAATAGAAATAAAAGTTGTAATGTGTATGACAAAAAAACAAATTGTAAAACAAAAAACAATAAGCCAAATATTTTTCAGAGCCAACATTGAAAGGTATTTTGACTAACAGTTTTGATTTCTGTGAATGATTATTCTTCTAAAAAGTGTGGGTATCTGTTCAAATATATGAACTGACTTTAACGTACTATATGTTTCAATCATTCTTATCGCTTTGTTTCTTTTTTTTTTTTTTTTTTTTTGGTTAGCTGAC